GCCAGGGTGATCGCGGCGCTCACCGTATTCAGCAGCGTCCCGGCCGTCAGCATCTGGCAGATCGTCGAGGCGAGCAGCACCTCGATGTTCGGCGGGGCGACCTCGCCGCCGCCCTCGGGGGCCGCGCCCGCGAGCGCGGCGCAGCGAAGCACCTTCTCCGAGTCCCCGACGCGGAGGATCCGCACGAAGTCCTGCGGCGACTGCAGGCTGCGCAGCTCGCAGATCCGCGAGGCGCGGTAGAGGGTGACCATGTTCAGCACCACCGACGCCCGCGTGCTGCCCTCCGGGTCGTTGATGAAGAAAATATCCGACGGGCTGTCCTCGCACTCGGCGAGGAAGCGCATGAGGGGGTCGATATCCGACGCGAGCATCTGCCCGGAGAAGGGGATCGGGACGCGGTGGTAGAGGACGTTGCACTCCCGCACGAAGTCCTCCATGCTCGAGCGCGGCGTCCGCACGGAGCAGACCTTGACCTTCTCGAAGCTCCGGTTCCCCTCCGCGTCGACGTGGTGGAGGAGGATCTCCCCGCCGTAGGCCTGCGCCTCGAGGAGGACGTCGCGGCGCAGGCGGTCCTCGATCTGGTCGATCGCCTGCCAGGAGATGTGCATCGTCGTGCCGTACTCCGCCATCGCCGGGGGGGCGTTGAAGTCGGTGAGGGTGTAGCCCCGGTCGTTGATCATCACCGTCGGCTCCGCGCGGAGGCTCAGCCAGTGGAAGCGCGGCGGCGGGCCCGCCCCGCCCTCGGCGTCCGACGGGAACGCCGCGCGGATCTCCCGGACGATCGTCCGCCGGTCCTCGCCGCCGAGGCGGGCGCAGGTGAAGACGGGAACCCCCGGCGCGAGCTGCCGCAGCGTGCAGCCATCCCGCTCCAGGCTGCGGATCGGCAGGCAGCACAAAATCCGCCCGGCGCTCAGGACGTTGCCGTGGCGGTTGCGGACGATGCGGGTGGCCTCGGTCTCCTCCGCGGTCTTCCCGCTCGCCGTGCTCAGCCGGATCTGCTCCTCTCGGAGCTGATCGTCGAGCTTGCTGCGGATGCTCAGGATGAGCAGCTCCATATCCGCGTTCCCGTGCAGCCACTCCGAGAAGGACTGCTTCGTCGCGAAGTTCCACAGCCGCTGCTCGCAATAGCAGGAGAACGCGAGGAAGAGGGCGTACTGCTGCAGCCGCATCATCGCCTCCTCGGGGTCCGTCTCGAGGCTTACGAAGGCCTCGTTGATGTGGTCCGCCATGGAGTAGAAGCTGTCGGTGAAGTCCATCAGGATGTTCACCCGCCGCTCATGAAGCTTGCCGTCGGGGAAAAGCGAGATCAGCTTCTGGATCGTGCGGAACGCCGGGGCCTTGGTGCTCCCGCGTAGCACCCGCACATCCGCCGAGATATCCTTCACGCACATCTGATAAAAGCGCACGATGCTGGCGATCTGCATCATCGCGCTGGTGCGGCCGCGGCCGGTCTGGCAGTTGAACACCATCACCGCCTTCGGCTCCTCCAGGCAGGCGGAGAGGACGAAGTCGAAGTCCTCCGGCTTCGGCCCGACGTTCTGCGTGATGGGGAGGCGGTAGTAGTGGAGCTGGTTCGCCCGGTGCTCCCGCGCGAGCCCGCGGAAGACCTCCGTGAGGGTCTGCACGTTCCCGGGGTGCGCGCTCATCCACTGGTCCTCCACCACCCCGTCCTTGCCCTCGACCTGCACGCTAACGTTGCCGCCGTTCTCGCGGGCCTCGCGCAGCACCTCCTGCTTCAGCTTCTCCTCAATCATCGCGATGCTGCGCCCGGTGACGTTCGGGATGATATACGCCCGCAGCGGATCACTCCGCGACCGCACGATGTGCGCGGCGTCGTTGATGTAAATCAGCGGCTCGTCGCGGAGGTTGATCCACACGAGGGGGCCGTCCAGGTGGGCGCGGGAGAATTGGTTGAAAATCGCTCGCACGGCGCTCGCGTTGGCCTGCGCGACGCCGGCGATGTTCAGCTTCGGCACCACGCGAAAGTAGGGCGCGCCGGAGAAGATCCCGACCGGGCCGTGGCGGCTGTGCAGCGCGTCCTGCAGGTCGACCACGAGGACGTTTTTCGCCGAGAGGACGTCGCCACTCCGCACCGCGGCGACCTCCGACGGCGAC